GAATGACTACTCAAATCCACAGGAATAGGAGAATAATGGTTGCCAGGTGTGGGAAGGAATGGAGGAACAGAGTCATTTAATGAGCAGAGTTGTAGTTTTGCAAAATGAAAAGAATTCTTGACATAAACTGTAGCAATGGCATACAGCAATGTAAAAGTACTTAATATCATGAAACTGAATGCATATAGTTAAGAGGGTACATTTTTAAAGTATATTATCACAATTAAAAACTACTATTTGCAGAGAAACATGACTGTTGTAATAAAATTGTAACAACAAACCTCCTCTGAAACCTTAAAAGAATTAAATTAAGGTCTTAAAATGTTTAACATATCTCTGGTTGGAAAAACAGACGTAATATTTGACTAGATTTAATTAGGAAAAAGAACTTAAGACATAAAGAAGGGTCCTCTGGGCTCAACCTCCCTTTGGATTCCAGCAGTATCATCTCAGTCTCTCTCTGGGTGCTTCTCCTTACTGCACAGGTTCACCAGGGGCCCAATACAACGCCCAAATCAACTGATATCTCTAGGAAGCTAATTCATTTCAATTCCATCTTCTTCAAAACTCCTGGATCCTATCTATTCCTTATCTACCTTAAAATCCACTAACAGACTCCCACAAACCAGATCTTAACTCCCCAAGCCCACCAGTAGTCAGTACTGGTGCATCCAATAATCCTAATACTTTTGAGAAAGAAAGAAAGATGAGGAAGGAGTTCAAGTCATCTTTGAGTTCAAGACCAACCTGGGCTCAAGAGGTTCTTTCTCAAGCAGGATTCTCTATTATGAACTTCTATACAACTAATGCCTCCTCTGGACACAAACTTTTATCATCTGTGCCTAATTTCATTAAGAAAACTTCAGCTGAGCCATCCCCTTCCCTTCACGCAAAGCTGTGTAAATACATTGTGTTCACTGCACTAGACACACTGTTCATATGTTCACTGCAGTGAGCTTAGATACAGTGAGCTTAGATGGCATTTGCTCTCTGGGCTTCATCACATTTCTCCTAATTGCATAGCTATGTAAATGAGAGTGTTTAAGAACAGCAAATTCCTGAGGAAATAGTATTTCTTTCTTTTCCCCCTAAAGGTATGAATACTTTTAAAAAGACTTTTGCTTTATAATTATTATTCAAATATGTACATACATGCGTATGTGCACACTTGTATGATAGAGATAGAGACAGGGAGGGAAGGAAGGAAGGAAGAAAGGAAGGTGTCTGTGGCGTCCAGAAGGCAGATTTGAATCCCTTGGAACTAGAGAAAAAGGCAGTTGTGAACCACCCTATGGAGGTGATGGGAAATGAACTCAGGTCCTCTGAAAAAAACAGCAAGTGCTCTTAGCCACTGAATCATCTCTCCAGCTCAGGAAAGGGTATTTTTTTCAGGAGCAAACTACCACCTGATTCAGTATCTAACAAACATATTCAGCATGTGATCTACATGTGGCTGAGAATAGCTATGAATACGACCTGATACACAATCATAAACTTACCTAGCACATTTTTTGTTTAAAAACAATTTTGGAGGGGGGGGGGTGCTCTTTTTCCTGCAACTTGACAGCATGGTTCTTAAGTGTGTACGTTGTAGATGATAAAGTCATTTTACAATGTCAAAAAGCTAGAACACCTAAAAGCATTCTTTGCCTTATGTTTTATTTTGGCTGACATTTAAAGAGAAAAAGGGTGGTGTAGGGTGGCTTTAATATTATCCAATAATGCATTTTTATATTTTTGCAATTTCAAATTTACTGTATCTGACATTACTCATGCTATGTAAGTAGCCTAAAAAGCTAGGCATGTTGACCCATATCAATAATCCTAGTACTGGGAATGGTGAGGCAGAAGAATCATGAATTCAAGGCCAGCCTGGCCTATACAGTAGGACTATGTCTTTTAAAACAAACAACATAGATTCTGTTTTCTATATGAAAAACCCACATGCACATGTCAACTATTTTCTCTTACAAGTAACTCAGTTTTATGCCTGGCTGTCCACAGACTACAGAGAGAGCAATCTGATAAGGGTCATTTGAATAATGCAGTGTAATGGAAAGATCACTGGACTCTTGGGCAACTGTGTTTCAAGGTTGACTCTGCCATGGCTTAGTGTGTGACCTATGTGACCAGGACACCATGTGACATTCTTCAATGAGGGCAAACTATATGTCAACCTATGACCTCACAGAGGCACTGAAAATAATAGACATGAAAGGACTTAAGGTTCTGCTGCTTCAAAAGAACACATGCCAAATTATCCCAGACTGTTCTTGAAGTAATCTATACTGGATAAATTAATTTACTCTGGAGATTTATAGAGTAGACGCTCTTCAAAGGTTCATGCTAAGTATTGCAAAGAATTAGAGAAGAAATCAACATTAAGGTACTAATCACATTTTAGATACATTTAGCCTTGTTGGAGAAATAAGTATACATAACGTATTTCACATGGCAAAATAAGTGGTTCAAACAGTACTTTGGTCATTCTACTTTTCAGTCCTCTTGTCTATGAGAGAGAAAACAGAATATGTAAATCATACAAATATTTGGTGTGCAAACCCTGTAACAATAAATCTTCACTTTTGGCTTCAAAAATAATACAGGAGCTCAATGAAGGGAAACCAGATTCTCCGGTTTCTATGAGGCACCTTGAGTACTTTACCTACAAACTCAACATAATGAAATATAAAAATTCATATTTTCAGAAAAAAAATTATTCAGAGGCTGAATAACCTGCCCAGGATGCAAAGCTAGTAGAAAGTTTTAGAAAGCTAATCCATTGTCTACTCTGACTAAACCACCTGAGATCTCTCTTCACTGCAAATGTGAGTGACCAGCATGGAGACAGGACAGATGCAGAAAGCACTCTGGCAGAAAGATCAAAATAAACCTGACATGAAGCTAGAAGAGAAGTAGCAAACTTTAGCATGACTCACAGGAAATAAAGTTAGAAGATTATAAAGAGATTAGAATTCAGGTGGCTAAGAAATGTGGGCTTGATCTTGTAGGTCAATAAAATGGAAGTGGAAATTGTAAGCTGAGAAAACTAGAGGATGAACAAAACATATCTGGAAGGCAATATGTTTAACAAGGCAGAGAAGGGCTGAAGAAAATGTATGGCATAATGTACAAAAGGTTATTATTTAATATCCACACACTTCAACATTTAGATAAGTTATATACCAGTACATCTATACTTTTTTTTTTTTTTTTTTTTTTTTTGGTTTTTGAGACAGGGTTTCTCTGTGTAGCTTTGGAGTCTGTCCTGGAACTCACTTTGTAGACCAGGCTGGCCTCGAACTCAGAGATCCTCCTGCCTCTGCCTCCCGAGTGCTGGGATTAAAGGCGGGCAGCACCACCCGGCAATAAGTAACTTTTCATACGGCTTTTTAGGCGTTTTTTAAAAAGTGGCTACTATGTCCCACCAATTCTTAGATCAGCAACTAATTCAACATACAAATACCTCTAAAACAGACTATTCTTTGCTCAAGGGCTATATTTAAAAGTTTAAATAGGAGGGTCAAAAAGGGATGGAAACAGACTCTAACTCACAAACCCTTTGCCCAAGAAAAACTTTCAATGAAGTTCTACCTTCACATTATAGAAACATCCAAAACCTAAAGACTGATAGTGACTTCCATATAACCCTAGATTCAGTTTCCACTGAAATACAATATATAACTCAAATCCATAGTTTCTACTTCAATACAAAACCATTGCTCCCACCACTAAAGAATAAATTTCCCTTCTCTTTTATGTATACAGAGGATGTCTGCCTGTATTGAGGTCTGAATTGGTGAGAGTTAATGCCTGGGCAACTCAAAAATAATCCTCCTAATTCTCAAATTATCCATCTCAGTCATTCTTAGTTGCAGGAAAACTCAATGATATCCTGTAATCTAAAGCGGAGCTGCTTCAAGCCAAGGCTCCAAATAGCTTAACACACCTGAGACCTAGTACAGGATCATATTCAGCCCTTCAACAACTATCAGGTGGACTGACAATAACCTAATTTGCCAATAAAATACATGTGACTCTGGCCCAACATAAACCAATACACTTTGCTTCAACTGTCACCAGTGTGATTGTTCACTTTGTAAAGGAGAATTAGTTAAAAGAAATGTCGAGGGGAGTGTGCAGCTGAGGTTTTCAAAGAGAACTGTAGCAAGTGGAAAAGGAACAAAGGGTGAAGAAAACCAATTACCACCTTTTTTCAAAAACACAAGGTGTTGAGCAGATGGCCTCCCTCCTAATTCTGTACTAACTTTACACTGAACTTTTCAGTTATTCATAAGGAGCACCCAAACTACATTTGTTTCTTTGCAAACGAATTAGAATGCCTATGTCTAAGTAACAAGATATTTTTAACTTAGCTTTTCAAAGTTATATTTGCTTCTGCTACTAAAGGCATTCCCAGACTATGGTCCGTGACTTTTAAACAATCTCAAGGTAAATAATTAAAGCGATTAGGGCGAAGTTATTTGTCCAAGAAAGAGTGCAGGTGTGGAACTTCAAGCACCTGGCTTTGCTAAAAAGTCAATTTTACTGTGCAAAAACTGGAAGCAAGCCTCTAGCTGTCAGCACAGACTGTTGAAATAAGCACAGTAAATTCGTCCGGCCCTTCGGACGACTGACTGGATTTGTGTTGCACCCTAAGAAGGACTAGTCTTAGCGGCTCCCAGGCCCGGAAAGCCAGAAACCAAGAGAAAGGTTTACTCTGGCGACGAACGCCAGAGCACTCCCGGAGGTCCAGTCAATAAGGCCTCTCCGAGAAGCCACACCGGGAGCTCTCCTAGCGCTGCGGGCTCGGGCTCGGCTCACCGCGCTAGGCCCAGGGCGGGCAAGGCTGCGGGACACCGGGCCTACGCTGTGGCCAGGCCGGACGGAGAAAGCCGAGTCCGCTAGCCCGGACAGTGCGGGCCGCACACGCTCCGGGCCTCGGAGCCCGCTCGCCCCTCGGCCCTTTCCTGTCAGCGACCGCAGCCCATGGGACTCACAGCTTCAGCTGCTCGTAGGCCGCCGCCGCCATCGTGCACTAGCACCTCCTTCCTCTTCTCTCCGCCAGCAGCGGACCCCGACGCCACCTCGACTCCGGCGCGGCCGCTCTCTAGGTGCGGTGGTCAAGGAGCCTCGGCCTGGTCCCACCCCCTCCCGGGACCGCCTCTCGGGATAGCACGGGAGCCGGAGGCGGACAAACCAGTGCGCCAGCCGGTACCTGCGAGACACGCCTCCGATGCACGGATTGGAGCAAGCCAAAGAACGCCGTGACGTCGCCGCCGGAGATTGGTGCAACGCGCTGCGGTGAAAGGTGGAGTCCTGGTAGCGTTGCTCTGAGTCGAGACGCTCAACGAACCGACAAGAATGGAGAACTGGAGGCAGGAAGCCTGTTGAAACTGCGTAATCAGAGATCAGCCATCACGGAAGGTGCACTAACAGCACTGGGCCAGTGGCGCAATGGATAACGCGTCTGACTACGGATCAGAAGATTCTAGGTTCGACTCCTGGCTGGCTCGATACGTGCAGATTGTTTTTTTTTTCCTCTCTACATATTTGAATTGAATGTTACAAGGCCGCCTCGAAAAGGATCTTAGCTAGAATGTCAAGGTCAGGTATCTTGAATTTTAATGCTGCTTTGCGCCTTTTTAGACGTGTTTGAAACCCAGAGTTGTCTAAAACGGTTTGCAAATTTCCTAGCGCCCCTGTTCTTAAAGCTGCGCAGAAGCCTGTAAACCAGTACACTTAAGAAAACACTCCTGAAAGTGGAGGTTCGCAATTAGGGCCGTTCGTGGCCAGTGTCTTTCCACCCGATGACGGAAAAGCAAAGGCTCCTTGCAGGAGGAACTCAGGCGGCACTGACGCGAGAAGGGCGCAGCTTCTGCTCTGCAGCACAGTGACCGGGCAGCGGACCCCGGAACGCTACAAGAGGCCTTGGCTAGTTCCTCTTGCAAAGCCAACCTGGCCTCCATTCCACAAGGAAACCTTAAAACTTCAGGGATTTCACAGTAAGAGGCCCAGAAAAGCGAGCGCATGACCATTCATTTTACGTAAGACCAGAGACAGATGTGACAGAAAGGGGATTCAGCCTATTCATTTAACTCGATTAACTTGTCCTAGTTAACAAACTTCACTCCCCAAGAGTTTATTAAAAATGTGTCAAATACAGGAAACTGTTAGGGGCAGAATTAGAGGCAGGGCAAGGGCTATGACTCACTCTTGCAGCCCTGAATGACCTGAATGTAGACCTGGCTGGTCTGGAACTCAGAGACCTGCCCACTTCTGCTTCCAGAGCAAGACAGCATAACTGGCCTCTACATTGGGGGGGGGGGGGGGGGGTGAATGAATTTATGGTGTTTCTTTGTTTTTGTTTGTCCTTTCTTTTGTGTCTGAGATTTAAGGTCATTAAATATTCCTTGAAGATATTAATTACATTAAAAACTAGGTATTTTAAACATAAATTTTATCTTGGAAATATGAGTTGATGCCAGTTTTAACACTTAAAAAATGACACTGGCCAGATGGTGTTAGCCCACGTCTTTAATCTCAGCACTCGAGAGGCAGAGGCGGGCGGATCTCTGTGAGTTCAAGGCCAGCCTGGTCTACAGAGAGAGTTCCAGGACAGCCAGGGTGTTACATAGAGAAACCGTATATGCAAAAATATTTGGATGTTTTAAGGGTGTGTGTGTGTGTGTGTGTGTGTGTGTGTGTGTGTGTGTGTGTGTGTGTCTTATATAAGACAAAGGGCCTTTACCTAGCTATGGAAGATGGACTTGGAACTCTATAGATTCTCCACGCTCCCAAATGTTGAGATTACAAGCATGTACCACCACACCTGGCTGAAATGTTCTTGCTTTAAGATGTTCTGTTTGGTCAGGTAGACATTTTAAAGGTCCATTTCATGGGCATTTAGATTTTTGGTACATATTTTCAAATTGCTTTGTGGAAGAATTTAAAGCAATATACTTTATGTCATCAGCATGTTTCCACACATGCTAATCAACATTAGACATTTTATATACATATAAATTAGATATCCAGGTCTGATGTGGTGGCATATACCTATAATCCTAAAATTGGAGAGAGGTATTATTTTTGGGTCCTGTCTATAACTAAATAAATAGGGTATCTACATACAAATACAGATATAAATTGTAGTTTCTTTGCAGTTATAAGTGGAAAAACACTACTTCCTTTTTACTTCTATTTCTTGACCTGTTGATTATTTTCTCTTGGTGTATTCAATTTTTTTTCTCACAAACTTGACCTCTAAAAATATTTATTTTTCTCTTTGTGTGTGTGTGTGCATGCACTTGAGTGCAAGTGTTCTACAAGGCTAGAGATATGAGATCCCTCTGGAGCTGGGTTACACTCACCCAAGGCAGGTGCTTGGAACAGAACTCAGGTCCTCTGCAAGAGCGTAATAGCTCTTTTGTTGTTATACATTACAGTCTTCCTGCGAGTTTATTCTTATTTAACTTAATTTTCACTCTTATATAATGTTCACTCATATATATTATAGACGCTTTTTAAATTTTGTTTTGTGCTTTTATTACTTTTTTTACTGTAATCTGCTTATATTTTATCTTGTTGATTATTCTGATATAACTAAGTCTTTAATAAGTCTTAAAACTTGTCAAACTGATCGATTACTTAGTGTTTCTCTAAACATTTTATTTAGACAAATAAAATCAGTAGGAGGTGGTGGTCCAGGCCTTTAGTCCCAGTTCCAGGACAGCCAGGACTAGAAAGAGAAACCCTGTCTGTAGCTAGAGTTTTCCTGCCTGGCCCACAGTCAGGACAAATCTCTCTCACCCGCCAGTCCCAAGCCGCTTAAACCTGATCAAGTAAACACAGACACTTATATTGGTTACAAACTGTATGGCCGTGGCAGGCTTCTTGCTAACTGTTCTTACAGCTTAAATTAATCCATTTCTATTAATCTATACCTTGCCACGTGGCTTATGGCTTACCGGTACTTTATATCTTCCTTATCCTGATGGCGGCTGGCAGTGTCTCCCCCTCAGCCTTCCACTTCCCAGCTCTATTCTCCTCCTTGTCCCGCCTATACTTCCTGCCTAGCCAATGGCCAATCAGTGATTTATTTATTGACCAATCAGCAACACATTTGACATACAGACCATCCCACAGTACTTCCCCTTTTCTTTTCTTAAAAAGGAAGGTTTTAACCTTTACACATCTCCAAAGTCAGCTTGGTATATTTGGGAATTTGGGCGTAGCTTCTCTTACTACTTCCTGCTGGAGGGGGACGCTGTATCTTCTGGGAAATAAAGAAAATTTTAGGATCATGGAGTAGTCCGTGAGGCTGTATCATCTGAGCCAGTTGCCTTGAAACGGTTCTGGATGTTGGATCATCTGGGCCATGGTGTCATCGGAGACCTTTCAGGTGGTCTTGGCTGGTCAAACCTGATGTGTCTTAATCTGGAACAAATCCATAGCCTCTTGCTTTCTGTGGAAACAAAAGAGACTCTTTTCCAAAGCAACATATCCTTACATCCAAATTTTGAAGTCAAAGTATCTTTAAAATATACATACTGGTTTAACTCAGCTTCCTTTACAATCAAATATCTCTCTGTAGTTAAGAATCCCAAAGACAACACAATCCAGACTCTCTGTGTAATAGTCATCTCTACGTGGCTTATTTTTTATATTACTTTTACTGTCTCTTTAAAGACTTTATTTTTTAAAACCATGTATTTGTTTCTATACTGTATATATCACCTTTTTTTTTCTTTTAAGCCTACGTATATTTTACATACATTTTAAACTATTACATCTGAATCTGTCTTATTGTGAATCTATTGTTTTAAGCTGCAGCCTTCTAAGCCTGAAACGGTGTTGGTGCTGTGGCTACTGGCTCCGCCCACCTCAGCTTCCCAACATGGCGGCGGTATGCTTACCGCCAGCTCTGGGAGCCATCGTGGGTCTATGCTTTTATCCAAGCAGCGTGTAGCCCAGAAACCTCTTTTTTTTTTGTACTAGCAAAGGCTAAATCCACAATGTAGCTTAATGTGCCACTTGCAGAGGCCTCATTCCCGCCATATGGCGGCAGGTCGAGCGCGCACACCAGGAACCCACCAGTAGCTCAAACCGGCAGCTGCCGCTCATTTGAGAGAGACAATTAGGAAGCTGTTTTTAGCTCCATTTTAGAATCTTTTTTCTCAGGTTTTAGGTGGAAACTCTTGCCCCACGTTGGGCGCCATTTGTAGCTAGAGTTTTCCTGCCTGGCCCACAGTCAGGACAAATCTCTCTCACCCGCCAGTCCCAAGCCGCTTAAACCTGATCAAGTAAACACAGACACTTATATTGGTTACAAACTGTATGGCCGTGGCAGGCTTCTTGCTAACTGTTCTTACAGCTTAAATTAATCCATTTCTATTAATCTATACCTTGCCACGTGGCTTATGGCTTACCGGTACTTTATATCTTCCTTATCCTGATGGCGGCTGGCAGTGTCTCCCCCTCAGCCTTCCACTTCCCAGCTCTATTCTCCTCCTTGTCCCGCCTATACTTCCTGCCTAGCCAATGGCCAATCAGTGATTTATTTATTGACCAATCAGCAACACATTTGACATACAGACCATCCCACAGTACCTGTCTTTAAAAAAAACTGAACTTGCTTAAGGTCATGAGTTCTTGAGTCCAAAACCAGCCAGATAAAAGCTGAGTGAACCCCCAGAGAACTGAGGTCACATGTTTTTTAGTATGCCATCTTATTTCTATCTCTGATTATCCTTCCACTCACCAGCTCCGGGTTCAATGAACATTTCCTCCCTTTTAATAAAATGGGGATTAAATTTGTACCCTGCTTCATAAGGCTTTAGTAAAAGAATATTTCCAGTTGGTGAGCCACTGCACTGACCTACAGAGAACTCCTGCTCAAGCTCTCTAAACAGGTAAAGACTCAAAGTTTGGCCTTTCTTCACTAGTTAGGAATATAAATTAAGGCCTTTGTGAACACTAATGAGACTGAGGGATGGCAGAGTAAATCATACAGAATTAGACATTCTTGTATGTGAAGGTCAGAGATCAACCTCAGGTGACTTTCTCAGTTGCTGTCCACCTTTTCTTTCCTTTTGCAGTGAGATTGACCATATCTCTCCTGTTTGTACTCAGAAATCACTTAGTACATTTTACTCATTTTTTTTCTGTTAAAGTTACTTCAGAGGCTAC